GGAAGCAGACTAGCTGCAGGAATAAATTGGCCACCTTTGGTTTAAAAAAAGGAAAAGAAAGCTGAACTATCCCTCTACAGAATTATTGTTTTGAAATTTCCCTTGATCTTCAATGAAATATCACACACAAATATCTATAAGAGATAATGTGTCCATTTGGATGACTATTTATGTGCCATTATGCCTTGTCTTCCTTCTGTGAAAATTAGACTCTTAGAATAAATGCTCCCAACCTCACCACCACAAACATAGGCTGGTGCTGTTCAAATGTAAAGTAAAGGTACAATGTGCACAATTTATTGATTGAATTGCAGTAAATGCCACTAAAATTGATAAGTTTTTAAATAAGAAAAGAAAATCTGTTAATAGTGATGTTTGTTATGAACCACATGGAGTGTCTATACAGGAAACTACATCTTGGAAAGCTCTATTCTAACAGGTCTTCAGGTGATGCAGTTTGACTAGTTTTGAAAGATGCATAATCCTGTTTCCCCATCTGTAAAACCAGTGTTGTGAACAGTAGAGAATAAGACACTGGTGTACCTAAGGGTTACACCGGTGGCAAAGACATTATGAATTCTCAGCATCAGTCCTCAAATCTGACTAGGATCTTTCAGATGCCTGGAAGTATATGTACATGTATGCTGGAAATATGCTATGCTATTATGTTACATGTATCAGATAGTGCCTGATTTTCTTGTATGTCTGATAATAGATTTTGTGTGCTGTGTAGTTCTATATCTGAAACATTATCTTTATAATGTTTCAGATCTACTGTTCCCTTCAAGCTAGTTGTATCAAAATATGTCCCTGATATTAACAGACTTAGAAAGCTGAACCCTAGATATTGTATCTTAACCTCAGAATTCTCTTTGATAAAAGATAGCTAGAGAGCCATGGAATTCTCTTTGATATGGACAGGGCAAAGGAAGCTTGATTTTTTTGTTTTGTTTTTATAGAGAAGATTAGTATTAATGTCAATTAATATAATGCCATTTCAGCGTGGATTTTCACCCCGAGTTCTTTGTTTTAAACAATTGTGCATGTATAGCTTTCAATTTTATGAATGATGTTTATGCAGATTTTCAAATTAATGCAAAATTAAATGAGAAAATAGCTGTGGCTTTGGTAACTAAGCTAGAGTACCTAAACAAACCTATAACAAAACATAATTATTGGTAGATAAACAAATACTTGCATAAGATGCACAACTCCCCCCCCCCCACACACACACACACATACAGAGGTTATTTTTGGAATCAACTTTACAAAGTGAATAAAGTTGTGGTAAAACGATTTATTGATTTATTGGCTCTTGATTTAGGAGAAAAAAGGAACGGGTATAATTAATATAATTAATATAATTAATATAACGTCACGCAGGTAGGGACCCGCCTACCTGCGTGACCGCATCTCCATATATGAACCCACACGATTCCTTCGATCATCTGGAGAGGCCCTGCTCACGATCCCACCTGCATCGCAAGCGCGTTTGGTGGGGACGAGGGACAGGGTTAGGGTTAGGGTGGTGGTGGCCCTAACCCTAACCCTCTGTGGTGGCCTCCTGACTCTGGAACTCTCTCCCCAAGGACATCAGACAAGCCCCAACGTTGGCAGTCTTTAGGAAGAGCATGAAGAGCTGGCTGTTCCAGTGTGCCTTTCCAGAATACGAAACTCCCAGCATCATGTCCCAAATGCACCTTGTTAGAGATTTAGGATTGTCTGCACATTACACCTACCTCCAAAAACCTCTACATAACACCTGTCAAGTCCAGCACTTTTAAAATCTATCCATTACATTGGCCCGGCCTTAGGTTTTAAATGCATCATGGTGTCATTGTTTTTAGTGTTTTATTGTTTTGCTTGATGTTTTATTATTTGCTTTATGAGTTTTTACTGTTGTATTTGTATGCTGTTGTTTTGTTGGTGGCCTTGGCCTTTGTAAGCCGCATCGAGTCCTTTGGGAGATTTTAGCGGGGTATAAATAAAGATAATAATAATAATAATAATAATAATAATAATAATAATAATAATAATTTCCATGAATTTGAAAATGTTTGCAAGAATTAAGCTATATCAGATAGATTGGATGATAATAATTGTGATAGGAAATGCATTTGTAAAATTGGAGGGAAAAGATAAATTTGTGCCACATGTAAATAAATTAAGGAAAACAATATGCAAAGCCTTTAAAAGTTTAGACCTAATTTATTTATTTAGTGATGGGATGGGATAGGGTTCAAATTCTTGGAAAGGTGTCTTATAGTATAAGTGTTTCTATAAGAGTGGATCACCAAATGCTAAGTAGCAGACTCTTTTTGAACAGGGAAAATTTAGGGGGTGACATTTTCGAGGGAAGCAGATAACATTGCAAAATTCCACATCTATGCCCTACGGTACCTGTCTATAATCATCTATTGTAACATTAGAATGGTACACTATGGACCAAAAAATGAATGAGTTGTAAAACAATTTAAAAGAATAATGCATTTGTAAGAATCCAAACATTTCTTTGAGCAGTGATCTGTCAAAGGTAAGCCAGATAATGGTGGTATTTTCAGACATCTTTTGTAGCAACCCCTACATTTTAATAACTTAGAATTTTTGAACTTAATTTTGAAATCTGTGCATGTGGAACAACCATTGTTTCTTGGCAAAGACAAAATGTTTCTTCATGGATGTCAAGTGGAAATTATTTAAAAAGAATGGAAAACCAGCTCTGTCTGAAACCAGTGTTGAAACCAGGAAGTTATGTAATTGAAATATGCTAGTTTTCAGGGTATACAGGATCTTTCAAAGATTGACTTTAAATATAATAATGATGTCAAACTGCTACAGTATTTTGAATGGTAAACATAATTTGAAAGATTACATTTCAGATGATACCTCTGACAATTTGTGTGTTACAAAAGTGCATTTGTATATCAATTTTCAAGCCACTTCTTCAAACAGTTAAATGTACCCAACAGCAACTAAAAAACAGTAAACGAAGAAGCTTCCTTTAATTATAGTTCAGAGTATAAGCATAGATGTAAAAGCTTTTATTACTTAATCATAAAAATATAAAACCAACAAAAAGATTTAGAAGTGCTTCTTAGTGGCTTTCAATACCATTGACCATGATTGTTGCACTCCAGGTCAGGAAGAAGCCCTCTGACTTTAAAAAACACTACACAAAGATTGAAGAAACAAATCTTCTTTTATTGAAGCTTAGTAAATAACCAGATGAAATAAATACTTGTAAGAAAATAAGAAGGTTCAAAAAGCAATAAGTCCATAAAAAGCAGTAACACAAAGCAATGTCCACACAAATAATTAAAGTAATCCAAGACAGCATTAATCCAGACAGGAATCAAACAGGATGCAGAGACAATCCAAAAGGCTAAAAAATCTCCACAGGAACAAGACCCCTTGAACAGGATTTCCATGGCACATTAACTTGGTTTCCAAACTATGCCTGATCTAACAGGTTTCCCCTTGAGGCAAACCTTATATCCCAAAACTCAGGAATTGGTTTCGCTTCCCCCCACATTTTTCCCTTATCAAATGCAGCCTTTCGGAGTGACTAAGTTTGATGTTGATCCTGGCTAATCTTCAGCCACCTATTCTTCAGCTCCCTACCTGGCTGCTCATTAAAATTCCCAGGTGTCAGATTGTTTTTTAAACCCAAATCTTGAGAGCTCACAGAGCTATCATTGCTAGGCCCAGCAGGAATATTCTCATGAGAAACGCCCTTTGCACCGGGGCCTCTCTGTCATTGTCTGCCTAAAAATCATTGACCAAACCATCTCCATCTTGTACCTCAGCCTCAGCACCATCATTTCCCTCATAATTTCCCACATCAGGGGAAGTTGGTGCTGTTGGCCTGTGTGGTCCCTCAGGACTCTGTTTTGTTTCACATGCTGTTGAACATGCTATTTGACATGTTCATCAAAACGCTGGGAAAGATCATTTCCAGTTTTTGAATGCAGTGCCATCTATATGCAGATGACATCCAACCCTTCTACTACTTTGCACTCAAAGCCAAGGAAGCTATCCTGATCCTAAAACTTTGTCACCAGTAATGGGCTGAATTGGAGCAAACAAATTGAAACTTAATCCAGACAAGACAGATTCATCTTATGCTAGATGAAGTTACACTTCCCCTGGAGACACAGGTCCGCAGTTTGGGGATACTCCTGGACTTGACATTTATCTATTTATTATTTCGGGCATTTATATCCTGTCCTTCTCATCTCCGAAGAGGGACTCAGGACAGCTTACAGGGGCATGCATTAGATGCCAAAAACAATACATTAAAAACACTCAGTTACAATTAACACAAGCAAAACAATTGTAAGCATTCAGTTAAAAACAGTTCACTGATTCAAAATATAATCCAACATTGCACTTAGTTACATGCCTTAGTTACATCCAATTTAGATTATTATAATGTGCTCTACTTGGAGGTGTCTTTGAAAAGTATTTGGAAACTTCAGCTGCTCTAAAGAGTTGCAGTCAGATTGTTAACTGGTGCTGATTTCAGGGAGTTCACAACTTCCCTGTATCAATAGCTCCTCTGGCTGCCAGTTTGTTTTTAGTGTTGCTAGCTGTTTTGAGTCTCTTCTAAGAGAGGAAAGCAGGATATAGAAAGACTGTTTTAAAAATGAGTTTATTCCAGGTTCAGCTACTGGGTTTTAGCAATAAAATCATATTTACATTTTTTTATTTTACATTTTATGGCAAATAGTATGCTTTTTAATGCAATCTTCTATAACTGTCTTTGGCATGTTCTTTTTTATCCTCAATAGTGTTCATAATATCCTTAAATATTTAATTAGCCTTCTGATATACAATTTTAGAATCATATGTTTCATAATTTGGAATTATTTTATGCACATCTCTGTGTGTATCAACACAATTTAATTATTCTATTGCTTATAAAAGATGTAGTACACTTGCCATTCTTTAGCCTTTACATTAGTAGCTGGTTGATTCTGCATTTTTCTTTCCTTTTCTAGAATGCCCTTTTTAATTGCATCAACAGAAATGAAAGTGAGTATACTTCTGGGGGTAAATCTTCATTGCATTTCATTCTGTTTTCAAGGTTTGTTTCCTTGTTAGAAAAGTTTATTTCTTTTTTTTAAAAGGAACTTCATAACTGCTTATCTGTTTTACAGTTTTTTGAACTGACTGGTATGGTCACCTTTCTGAAGTTCAGAGGAAATTAGTGTATTTCTTGCATATATCTCAGATATCTTATCACAGAGACGTAGAATGCTTTATACAAGTATGACAGTTTGTAGTCTGCATATTTACAGTTGGAAGTGCTGCAAGATTACTTTTCTCATTCCCAAGTGCTATTTGTAATTATTGTGATGTTTCCATATTTCACTCTAGTGGGATCAGTTTGTTGCAGTTATGCTGGTCATCATACCAACTGTCGAGAATACTGCCAAGCAATCTTTCGAACAGATTCTTCTCCAGGTCCTTCTCAGATAAAAGCTGTTGAAAGTTACTGTGCTTCTGTTAGCCCACAGTTAATTCATTGTGTGAATAACTACACACAATCATATCCAATGCGAAACTCCACAGATAGTAAGTATTAAAGTGGGGGCATAGTCAAAGAATTTAAACAACCAATCCATGAATATACACATTTGTGTTATAAGAACTATTGTCTGCTTATTTATGTATTTCATTCCAATTTAAATATTTTATCAAATTCTATGGATTCCAAGGTTCTCTTGAGTAAAAAGGATGTAATTTAGTTGTACAGCATTTGCTTTGTAAGCAAAAGTATCAAAAGATACTTTTGCTTGCAAAGCAAGTGCTGTACAACTAAATTACTAGGTTTGTTGTAAAACCTAGTATCTGGTATACAGATAGTGCCCAAGTTACAAAGATTGTACTTACATATAATTCATAATTAAGAATGGGGATGAGACAACAGGAAATGAAAGGACATTATCTCTAGGAAAGGAAATTTACTACTGGAAGAGTTGAGAAAAGGTGTTTCCACTGAAGTTTTAGCACTCGTCCTTGGTTCCATAACAACCCAAATTTTCTAAAATCCAATAATCACAGGGACGGAAAGTGAGGAGAAATCTTCTGAACAGGGATACAGACAACAAAATAAACTTTACCGGGGTGTTAACTCCTATGCTAACCAAAACATTTACAAAATTGGCTGGAGTTTTATCTGTTATAATTTAGCTGTAAATCGCCTAGAGCATTCTCGGATGGAGGGCGATTAATAAGTTATTAAATGATGATGATGATGAGTTACACTTTAAAAACTCTATACAAATGCATACAAATGCAACTTAAGAACAAACCTACAGAACCTATCTTGTTTGTAACATGGGGGCTTCCTGTAATCCCTAGAATCTTTCTATAGGGCTGGGAAAGTCTTCCTGCTAAATCCGTGTAAGAGTACTGTTAGTACTGTATATGCTGGCTATTGAGTGGGAGGGAGCAACACCGTGTCTTATGTAATATATGTGTAATAATTATTGATATTATGTACATTATAAGTCTGAGGGCAAAATAAATTTTTGCAAACTGCTCTGAGTGCCTTCGTAGTGGAGGAGCACATAAAAATTTGCTCTCAACTATGCCAGTGAATAATAAAATTTCAATAAGTATACCTACCAAATTTGTATTCACCCAAAAGGCTGGTTGAATGAGGGGGGAATTGAATTTTGCCTATGTGGTGTGTAACAGGCTTCCTTTTCGACTATTTGCATACGAGCACTTGCAATCTAGTAACTCCTCTCAACTTGAACACCCACCCCGACTTTTATTACTATAATATTACTATTATTAATCTGCCTATCTTGTCTTGTTATTGCTGTATTTATCCATTTACAATTCAGAATTAGAGCATACATACGAAGAAGAAGAACTTTATTTTTCTACCCCGTCTCCATCTTCCCGAAGGGACTCGGGGTGGCTTACATGGGGCCAAAGCCCAGGCAGAATACAATTAAAATAAAGCAATAAAAATTAAAACAGCATAAAACCAGCATAAAACAACATAACAAAAATAACTAGCAACAACAATAGCCGCAGACTAATTTTGGAGGGGGGAGGAAAACCACTACGTGAACTAGTTAAAGGATAAAGTGGTTTAGTAAGGTAGATGACAATGTATAACGGCATAGGAAAAATCATGGAAACAGGGTAGATTAACAGGATCAGTTAATATAATATAATAATATAATATAGGACATCAGATTGAATGACAATTCTAGTCATGATACAGGCCATTTGTCATAGGAGTTGTCAATTGAAAGCACAACTAACCATTTTTATATCTTAAACACACAATCCATTAAATTTCATACTCAAATATTCCCTTAACTCAACACCATCCCCTTTATTTATTCTACAATATTAATTTATCATAGCCAGTTCTTATCTGTGAATTAGTTGTATTCTATAAATTTATTCATTAGCTTTTCTGGGTTTTCAGTACCTAGGTATTCTCGTAACTAAACATTTGTGACATCTAATACACAGGAATTATACACAAATTGTAGGCGCATTGATCAAAAACTAAAAGATTGGTCTAAGATTCAAAATGTCAGATCTTTGCTGGAGAAGGTGCAGTAAAATAGATGGCTAATCTAAAGTAAATTTCTAAGGGAAAAATGAGTTAGGTAAAATCAAAGAATATATTATAGAGGAGCACTATTGTTAATTTCCATGCTTTGAAAATGAAAATTAAAGATTAACAAAGGATGATCCTGTAGCATTGTGAAATGCACAATTAGAAATAGTGGAATCATAGAAAGCATGAGAATCTTTTAGTACAAAAGTGTGGTCTGTAGCACTATCAGAAAAGCTAACGTACAAACTAAAAATAGCAAGAAGAATATATATGTATATGTATAAGTATATGTATATTTAAAGCATTTATATTCCGCCCTTCTCACCCCAAAAAAGCGACTTGCAGTTTCTCAAGTCCCTCCTGACATGACAAAAAACAAACAAACAAACAAAAAACCCAAAGGGGATTCAGGTCAGAGTGCAACATATATACGGCAGACATTAGATGCCAGAACATAAAATAAACACTAAAATCAATTATCATACACTGAAATCAATTATCAGAATATATATATATATCCTCTCTCTCTCTCTCTCTCTCTCTCTCTCTCTATATATATATATATATACACCTTTTACTATGTTATTCATATAAACTTTTTTCTTAATCCATCAGATAAAAATTTATATTGGGAAAATATATTACTAATGTAATACTATGATATGTTAGATGTACAGTGAAGGAAAGTGATATATATTTGACTTATTAAGATTGGAGGTGGGAGGAAAGAGACAAGGGAACTGAATATTTTAATATTAATATACTTTAAAATAATAATTGCATTTTAATATGTTTTTGTGATATTGGATCTTGTTACTGAAATACTACTTGGTACATTACACTGTTTATTTTTCCTTTCCTGTTAGGTTTGTTCTGCTGTGATAGAGCTGAGGATTATGCCTGCCAAACGGCTTGTAAAAGGATTCTGATGTCAATGAAAACAGAACTTGAAATTGTGGATGCACTTATTGATAGCTGTAAAACAATGCCTCTTCCGCAGGACCCTCTCTGGCAGTGTTTCTTGGAGAGCTCAAGATCTGTTCACCCTGGAGTCACATTACATCCTCCACCTTCAACAGGCCTAGATGGTGCTAAGTTGCACTGTTGTTCCAAAGCAAATACTTCCATGTGCAGGTCAGTATATTTCCCTCTCTTTTCAACATCTGTAAACTTTTTCTGAAAAAAAATGAGTTAGTTTTTCAACCTTTCATGATTCATGTTTCGATGAACACTTATTCTTGGTGTCCTTATTGGCTTACTTGGGTAGCTTACATTATTAGACAACAAGGTCTGGATGCTGTTGGGGCATGCTGGTCATGCTGGTTCTTTTGGACTGTCACCTTGTCGTGGTGAGGGGGCTTGCGTGTTCCAATGAACCTGCGGGCACAACAACTGGAGTTGTGCACTCCCAGGAGTGGCCGCGGGGGGGGTTCCAGACCAAGCACAGTCCGAAGACCCAAAGACCTCAACGGCGGAGCAGGCGGAGGATAACATGGTACATGTTACAACAGCTGTGAAGGCGGAAGAAGGCTGCAACAGATTGAGAAACCATGGTCATTGTGTTAAACTACACCACCAGTGGAACCTCATTCTGTGAAGACTGTGTGTTGATCAGTTGTGCACTGACTTCCACACATTAAAAAAAACTCACGCACAGGCATCTTCTAAAGTCTTTTTGTAATCTCTGTGAAATTGCACAATGGGTAAATCTGCACCTGAACAGAGCTCCTTAGGAACCTTCTAGAATTCAAGGATATATTTTGTTGGTGACCCCAACCACTAGCAGTTTAGTGTTAAAAAACTCCAGTTGCTTTTCATCTGGTGATGCAATAGCTCAATTAGCTTTCAATTTGCTTTCAATTTGCTTCCTCCAGTATTTTTTCTCTGTTTTTCAGAATTTCTCTTCATATTTCAACTTTGCTTCTGGTTACTCATGGTTTTTTTTTTTTTTTGCTTGCGTTCATTTGCCCTTCATTTTTGATGCTCGTCTTCTCCTTCTCGGCATTATGTTGTCTACTACATTTTTAAAGAAATGTGTAGAATGCCGAACATGGATAGCCACATTAAATGCTTCCTATGTCTTGATATCGTCCAGTCATTCTCCCATTGCTAGGCTTTTATGCCTAAGAGAAAGAAGAACAGGGAGGTGCAACTGAAATGAAATTTAAATGTGCTTTCCCCATCACCCACCTCACCAGCTTGTAAATCCACAGTACAAGCTGGTGACCCCATACTAACCTGCTTGGCTTTGGCAAAATTGGCTTCATCCAAACCTAGTACTTTGGTCTCAGCACCGACCACTGCATTGGCAACCTCTGTTTGAACCTCAAGCTTCATACTGCCTTCCTCTTTGTCGATCTATCTCACCATCAAATATTTGTTTCAAGAATTGGCTCTTCCTGAGTTTATGAAAGCTAAGTGTCAATAAGGGAGAGTCCCTCCTCCACCAAGAAGCATGGGAAGCCAGCTGTTCCCTTCTCCTCTAAAGAAGGATGGAGAGTCCTTTCTCAGTGGAGCAAACCATGTTAAATGAGCTGCACCCTTCTGCCCTGTATAGGATAGAGATGGGGTCCTCAAACTAAGGCCCGGGGGCCTGATACGGCCCTCCAAGGTTATTTACCCAGCCCTCAGGGTCAACCTAAGTTTGAAACGACTTGAAAGCACACAACAACAACAACCCTATCTCATCAACCAAAAGCAGGTCCACACTTCCCATTGAAATACTAATATGTTTATATTTGTTAAAATTGTTCTTCATTTTAATTATTGTATTGTTTTTAAGTGTTTTTGAACTACAAATAAGGTATGTGCAATGTGCATAGGAATTCATTCATGTCTTTTTTTTTCCAAATTATAATTCGTCCCTCCAACAGTTTGAGAAACTGTGACCTGGCCCTCTGTTTAAAAAGTTTGAGGACCCCTGGGATAGAGAGTCCTATACATCTCTTGGCCAAGGAACAATTGTCCGCCTTTCTTCAATCAAGAGGGGCTCAGCCAGCTACCTATCCTTGTCTTGGCTAAAGAAGGACAGAGAGTCCTTCCACGACAAAGAGAAAAGTGGGAAACTAGATGCATCCCTCTCAGCTGTAGGAAAGCATAATCCTTCCTTGGCCAAGAGAAATATGGGAAGCTAGCAGCTTACTTTTCCATTGAAATGCTACAAAGGCTCAGCAGCAATGGAGGCTACAGGGACACATAATCTGAGAATAAGCAAAATTGCAAAGTAAGCAGTGGGTGTAGAAGACCAATTGTTATGAACTCTAGCATGCACATATGCTGCAATGCAACCTGAGCCCTGCTACATGCACAATGGAGGACCTTCTTGCGGCAACACCAGAAGCACTCCAAGCTTGCAAATTTTTGTTTTGTCTGTTTTTTTGTTTTGTTCTGTTTATTTATTTGTCGTGTCAGGGTAACCAGTCAATTGTATTACATTTCTAACAGAACAAAGCAAACAGATAAAATACAAAATTTGCGAGTTTGGTAGTTGATTAAATGTCCTTTGACCAGTAGCTGGCCACTTGGAGTGCTTCTGGTGTTGCCACAAGAAGGTCCTCCATTGTGCATGTAGCAGGGCTCAGGTTGCATTGCAGCAGGTGATCAGTGGTTTGCTCTTCTCCACACTCACATGTCGTGGATTCCACTTTGTAGCCCCATTTCTGAAGGTTGGCTCTGCATCTCGTGGTGCCAGAGCGCAGTCTGTTCAGCGCCTTCCAAGTCACCTAGTCTTCTGTGTGTCCAGGAGGGAGTCTCTCATTTGGTATCAGCCATTGGTTGAGGTTCTGGGTTTGAGCCTGCCACTTTTGGATTCTTGCTTGCTGAGGTGTTCCAGCGAGTGTCTCTGTAGATCTTAGAAAACTATTTCTTGATTTAAGTCGTTGGCGTGCTGGCTGATACCCAATCAAGGGATGACCTGGAGATGTCTCTGCCTTGGTCCTTTCACTATTGGCTGCTACTTCCCGGCGGATGTTTTGTTCTGTTAGAAATGTAATACAATTGTCTGGTTGCCCCTGACACGATAAGTAAATAAATACATATATGAGGCAGCAAATCTTACTGTTTCCTCCTAAATATAATTTAGTTTATCGTAATTTTCCCCCATATGTTTGGTTTATTTAGAGATTTATGCACGAAGCTTTATAGCAGCAGCTGGGGCAATACACAGACTTGGCAAGAATTTGATCGCTTCTGTGAGTATAATCCTGCTGAAGTTTCCATGCTGACCTGTTTAGCAGATGTACGTGAACCTTGTCAACTGGGCTGTAAAAATCTCACCTACTGCACTAATTTTAATAACAGGTAGGAAAGATGCACTATTTTTTCCCCCAGTAAAAAAAATATATTGTTGTTTAATGAAATGTAGCAAATTCTTTGCTTACTGAGCCCTGAGGAATCTAAAAGGGTTAATTTCTTTCTTTTGGACATAGAGTAGATGAAAAGGTAGTGCCATCTAACTTGCTGTGATTTAGTGTGTTCATTGTGATTGAGAGATCCATACATGTGTCAGAAGCTCATGGAAGTTGAGTAGTGCTTCTTTTCTATCACATAATCAGATTACAACATTGTCATCTCTGATTATGTTTTTTTTATTTTTCCTTTGCATTTTAAAATTTGAATTAAAACATGATATAAGATTGTTATTTAGATTGCACAATTTAGTTCCGGGATGAGAAATATGTAGTCAGTGTGATGTTGGACTACAGCTCCCATTATCCTTCATTATTGTCTATGTGGGCCAAGGCTGGCAAGAGTTGTAGTTGGAACAACTACTGAAAGACTATATGTTCCCTTTTTCGACTTAGGTGCATGAATTCCTGTTTGGTCTTGGTGTACATGTCAATAATTTATAAAGGGTGTCTTTTTAAGAAGAAATACTAATAGTGTGAAGAAGTGCTATTTCAACTACAGACTGCATCACTGCCCAATCCAGACATTTAAATATCTATTTCCTCATTGTTTGGTATTGTGGATTTTTCTAAATGCTCAACAACTTTTTTGTTAAAATTCAGTTTGTTAAATTTTGAAATTTCATTATAATTCGAGCATCTTTTTCTAGACAATTAACCCAAATATGTTGAATTATATAATGTGATTCCTTGTATATTGCCTGCAATCTATGTTGGGAGGGAAGGGTTGTTACCTCCTATTCAGCTTTTTTTTTTTGGGGGGGGGGAGTAAAGGATATAGGTTGCATATATGGATGTGAACAGACAATGCAGAGAACAAGAGCAAGGTGGGTTCATTTCAGGCAAACAGATCACTCTGCAACCTAGGGCTTTTTAAGTTGGAGGTGTGGACCTGAAAGCATCCCATTGTGTTCCCTTAATTCAGGAGAAAAAAGGAGAGCCAATAGAGAATATTCTGCCATTTGAGGCCGAAAACCAAGCATGGCAGCTTGGCATGAAACATGTTGAAGATGCTCTACATCCTGCAGCCAATATTTAATTCTTTATATAAAAATAAAGAAACACATATATCTGATTAGTATGCAAATTGGCTTTTGTCTTTAATAAATGGTAAAATTATATGTATATTACAGAATTAAAATAAATTTCAGAAGAATTTATTATCAGTAAATGTTTGATTTGTATACCTATTTTATATACTGTATACCTGGGATCTCATCTGGATAGCCGTTCGTCTCTTTTCGCTTCTTGTTTAATAAGGCCAGTGCTCTTTCTGCTTGTTTATAACTGTCTGTAACTGGTGGTTAATAGTTACTGAATATGTATTGTCAAAGGCTTTCATGGCCGGAATCACTGGGTTGTTGTAGGTTTTTTCGGGCTATATGGCCATGTTCTAGAGGCATTTTCTCCTGACGTTTTGCCTGCAACTATGGCAAGCATCCTCAGTGGTAGTGAGGTCTGTTGGAACCAGGAAAAATTGGTTTATATATCTGTGGAATGACCAGGGTGGGACAAAGAACTCTTGTCTCCTGGAACTAGGTGTGAATGTTTCAACTGACCACCTCGATTAGCATTTGATGGCCTGGTAGTTTTTTTTTGGTGTGGTTTGTTAGTACCTGAGGGAATCTTTTGTTGAGAGGTGATTAGCTGTCCCTGATTGTTTACTCTCTGCTGTTTTGCTGTTGTAATTTTATTTTTTTAATACTGGTATCCAGATATGTTGTTCTTTAACTTTATTTTTTATTAAATCCCCTTTTCTCCTTGTGACTTTTTCTCATTTATTTAAATTTATTTAAATGTAGTTTTATTTAAATATTACATCTCTTAATTCAGAGATCACGACTCTCGGACCACCAGCAGAATGCTGTCTACTTTGCTTCTCTTGAGCCTTCTTCCTTATATCCCATCTCCCTTAAAGTACCAAGTTTTGATTTGTGTGGTATGTGTAAAATTATGTAAACATGAAAACATTTCAATAATTTTATCCTTTTTTGACTGACTATATATTATTTTCTCTCCAAGGCCAACTGAACTCTTTAGAAGTTGCAATGCCCAATCGGACCAAGGAGCTATGAACGATATGAAACTGTGGGAGAAAGGGAGCATTAAGATGCCATTTATTAATATTCCTGTTCTTGATATTAAAACATGCCTACCACAAACATGGAAAACCATTGCTTGTTTGCTGCAGATTAAACCTTGTCACAGTAAATCAAGAGGAAGCATCATTTGCAAGTAAGTAGTTTTTCTGTCTTTATGCACATAGAGAGGAAAGCTATGATATTTCTGACTGTGTAAAATATTTTTAAGTAAAATAAAAGGGAAAGCTAGGAACCAGAACCCAATGTTTTCCACCAGAACAACCCACTGTTTTCCACTGGTTAGAATCAAAACATACCTGGAAACGTCTTATATTTTGCAGATAAGCTGAATATGCGGTCAGGATCAATGGCCACCTCATCAGATTACATGGTTAAGGAAACTTCAATGTGCTATGGTGGTGAGAAGGGAGGAGCTGGACAGTCCCGGTTAGTGCCAGTCAATCACAGCTCAGGATGCTGCAAAAGAGGCCTATGCAAAAGGAAGGATACAAAATTGAGACTTGTCTTTGAGGGAAGGCAGGTAGGAGAGAGAGGGCATAGAGACAGGAAAGAGCTGTAATAGAGATATTACAGTCAGCCAGAGGGAAGCACTGAATAGAGTGTTGGGGAGCTGTGACAGATTAAATCAGAGCTTTCCAAACTGTGTTGCAACTTTTGAGTCTATATTTGTTTATCGTGTCAGCAGCAACCATACAATTGTATTACATTTAAACAAAATTTTAACAAACAGACAAAACAGAGTTTGCAGGCTTGGTAGTTGATTAAATGTCCTTTGACCAGTAGCTGGCCACTTGGAGTGCCTCTGGTGTTGCTGCAAGAAGGTCCTCCATTGTGCATGTGGCAGGGCTCAGGTTGCATTGCAGCAGGTGGTCAGTGGTTTGCTCTTCTCCACACTCGCATGTCGAGGATTCCACTTTGTGGCCCCATTTCTTAAGATTGGCTCTGCATCTCGTGGTGCCAGAGCACAGTCTGTTCAGCGCCTTCCAAGTCGCCCAGTTTTCTGTGTGCCCAGGGGGGAGTCTCTCATTTGGTATCAGCCATTGATTGAGGTTCTGGGTTTGAGCCTGCCACTTTTGGACTCTCGCTTGCTGAGGTGTTCCAGCGAGTGTCTCTGTAGATCTTAGAAAACTATGTCTAGATTTAAGTTGTTGACGTGCTGGCTGATACCCAAACAGGGGATGGGCTGGAGATGTCTCTGCCTTGGTCCTTTCACTATTGGCTGCTACTTCCCGGCGGATGTCAGGTGGTGCAATACCGGCTAAGCAGTGTAATTTCTCCAGTGGTGTAGGGCGCAGACACCCCGTGATAATGCGGCATGTCTCATTAAGAGCCACATCCACTGTTTTAGCGTGGTGAGATGTGTTCCACACTGGGCATGCATACTCAGCAGCAGAGTAGCGCAAGGGCAGATGTCTTCACTGTATCTGGTTGTGATCCCCAGGTTGTGCCAGTCAGCTTTCGTATGATATTGTTTCTAGCACCCACTTTTTGCTTGATATTCAGGCAGTGCTTCTTGTAGGTCAGAGCACGGTCCAGAGTGACTCCCAGGTATTTGGGTGCGCTGCAATGCTCCAGTGGGATTCCTTCCCAGGTGATCCTCAGAGCTCGGGATGCTTGTCTGTTCTTGAGATGAAAGGCACATGTCTGTGTTTTAGATGGGTTAGGGATCAGCTGGTTTTCCCTGTAATAGGCAGTAAGAGCACCTAGAGCTTCGGATAGCTTCTGTTCAACCATCTCAAAGCTCCCTGCTTGAGCAGTAATGGCACGATCATCAGCATAGATGAAGCTCTCTGTCCCTTCTGGCAGTGGCTGGTCATTTGTGTAGATGTTGAACATGGATGGAGCAAGCACGCTCCCCTGAGGCAGGCCGTTCTTCTGTTGTTTCCGCCATCTGCTTCTCTGGCCCTGGAACTCAACAAAAAAGCTCCTGTTTTGTAGCAGGTTTCCTATGTGATATTATACATTTTTCTCAGGAGGAGGCGGTGGTTCACAGTATCATAAGCTGCTGACAGGTCTATGAAGACAACTCCTGTGATCTGCTGCCTTTCAAAGCCATCTTCGATGTGCTGAGTCTGGTTCAGCACTTGCGATGTGCAGCTTTTGCCTTTCCTGAAACCAGCTTGCTGTGGGATCAGATATGGGTCTATTTTTTCCATAATTCTATGCAAAATAAGTGTCTCCAGAACTTTGCAGAGGTGGCACAACAGGGAGATCGGTGTATAGCTTTTTGGGTCATTACGGTCTTTGCCTGGCTTTAAGATGGCGATGACTTTTGCTTTCCTCCAGATTTTGGGGATCTGACAGGATGCAGTGCAAGCATCCTGTCTATGTGAAATATTCAATAAATCATATACTTTAAAATATAAGTGAAAGTTTTTCATGAGATATGTTGTGTTTCCATACATTTTGTTATTATTGTTTATATATGTATCCATATCTCCTTTAATAATAATTGGCTTAACCTCCAATTTGCTTATAAAACTGAATTACAGTGTCGTGAAATGACACATGTCTACAAAGTGTCTCACTAACATGAGATGTTTGGAAAGCTCTGGATTAAATAAGAGTTAATGTTTGATCTCATTGTATATTAACAAAGTTTTACTTTGCATTCTTTTTTACTTCCCATTAAGATTTGATAGACAGTCTAGCTACGCATACCACAGTGAACCCATTGAACAATACAACCACTTGTCCACATAGGGATCATCTTGAAGCTCAAGCACAAATGGGAAACCATTATTTACATTGTCTAGAATATCTGGAGTGTATCAAATTGGGGAGGGTTGGATTAGACAAATGTCCTAAACACAACATCACATACACGAAGGAGCATAGTCTGACTGACCTCTTGCTGTCTTCAGTCTTGGAATTTATATGAGATTTGGATAAGCTCAGGGATAGAATGTTTCTGAGGCTAAGCACATTTCCCAGGATGGTACTGGAGTGGAGACATATCAACACAAGAAAAAGCTTTTGGAGGCCAAAGTGATGGATGCATGCATGTCTCTGTCCAGTATGAAGAAAGTGAGATCTCAAATTCAAATAAAATTGGTATGTCTCATTCCCTTTGCCTCACCAGTCTGCTCAACCAAGCAAGTGAGTGTGCAAAGGAAAACACATGCAGGGCCAGCTACCCTGCCAGTAAAGGAACTTTTTGTAAATAATAAATACAGTTTGAGGAATCTTGAGATATTCAGTTTTTCCACTTTCATGTGGCCCCTGTGTTCCTCTATTTGGCAAGAAAATGGATGTCCAACCATTTGAGCATACATGGATTTTGGTATTTGCAAGGAATTCTGGAACCAAACTCCACCAGATACCAAGGGCCTGCTGTATATACATTTAGTACAATTAATAGCTAGAATAAGGGTGATGAATACATGAGTCTGATTTTCATATTAATAGAGCTGTGCACAAAATTATTTTAACTTGGATAAATTATTTATATGCAGATATATTTTTGTTTCACATTTTGTACATCTACTCAATGTGTAAAAACTTTATTTTCCTGAAGATCAGATTGTGTGGAAATTCTCAAAAAATGTGGAGACTTAAGTAAATTTCCAGAGGGACATATGGCTGAAAGTGTTTGTGAACTTTTATCTCCAACCGATGATTTGGAAACTTGCATACCCCTAGATACATATCTTCGTAAGTACTGAAGAACTACTCTTGTGAACTACATTTGAAATATATATTAAAAAGCTTTTTAAAAGGTGAATGCTTTGTACACACTCAAAAGTACATTTAATTTGTACCAGTACCTTGAAAGACATAATTGCTCAATAGCTAGTTCCCTCTTCATCAGACATGGAAACAAATATTGTTTTAATATGTTATTTTAATATGTTGTTTATGGGTCTGTGGAAACGCCTTCATTTCTCCAGTGACAAAGTTAAATTTAGGACACTTGAATTAGATTTCCTGTAGCGTGGGGAGGTAATCCATATGTTGAATGTTGCTCTTCCCATGCTTCTCATAGACAGGGCTTGGTTTAATGTTAATAATTCATTCGTCCCTAAGTGGAAGTCCCAGCTCGCCCCTTCCCATTTCTGCCTTGTCTGCGTTCTGATAGAATAGAGCTTTCTGCATTTTGGTTATTCGCCATTTAATTAGAAGATCTTGGACAGATTTTCCCTTCTGGGAAGATTTCTTTCTTTTGGAACTTCGAGAGAGAGGTTTTTTTGTGTGCTGCATATGTATTTATTTGAGGCAGAGCATTTTAATGCCCTTTTAAACAAGGTAGACAAGACATTAGAAATTGCTTCTACTAATCAGGTGTCTGTTACAATCGCTGAAATGATTCCGGAAATCATGTCTATGGCTAAGCAGGAACAATCTGCTTCACCTTTTTCTGGAGTGAGTTCAGAAGTTATAGATTGCAGAATGAGAATTATCTCATCCTGGAGTAGCTGCTAGAACCTTTTCATCTTATGTCAGACATCTTTTTACCCTAATACTTGAGGTTTTGGAAAAGCTGAAATTTCTCTTTATTGATGCCCCTATGGTTGGATTGATTTTGGGCTCTCTTTTCCCTAAACATGGTGATAATGCGTCTTTAAAAAATGGAGGATAAAAGATTGGTGACTTTGCATAGGTCTAAAAAGGCAACTTCTCATGCCATCAGAAATACTTTGCCAAGACTCACACTAGTGTTCAGCCTCAACATTTTTTGGGGTTTTTTTTTTTTGTCATTGGAGTACATCCCCCCCTTGTGGGAAAGCTTGGTTCCACGACCTTCCACTATAATGAGCTCTCCTCCGCAAATAATCTGCTTCTGTCTTATCTCACCTGAGTTTTTAATCAGCTTTTAATCAGCCTTTCTTTTATCCATTACATGTAGCCCACCCATTGTCATTGTGATTATGCGTATTGTAATTTTATATTGCTATGTTTTTCATTTGTTTTATTAATTATGTTGTTGTGGTTTATTATTTGCGTTTTCGGTTTTATTTTATGTAATTATTGTTTGGGCTTGGCCTCATGTAAGCTGCTCCGAGTCCCCATTGGGGAGATGGTGGCGGGGTATAAATAAAGATTATTATTATTATTATTATTATTATTATTATTATTATTATGGCCATTAGATGGGCAAGAGTCTTTCACTGGCCCCTAGGGAAAAGACTAAGCTCAGACAGGGTATTAATGACGATTTCTGCTTTTATGGCAGAAGTCAGTTTATTGTCGAAGGCTTTCATGGCCGAAAACACTGGGTTGTTGTAGTTTTTCGGGTCGTATGGCCATGTTTGATTCTGGATCCATGGCAGCTAATGTTGTGGCAAGGTCAATTTTAGTAAAAATTTTGGAATACAAATGCTAAGTCTAAAAGTTATTTGCTGCTTGTCCATTTAAGGAATCTAAATTGTTTAGTGACCCAGGCTGGTTACAGTTGGATGCCTAGAGATTGAATGGGGAAAACTAGTTGTTGAAGGATACAGTGAGGATGACATTCAGATTCTTGTAGCTAGGAAACTTTTCATAAAATGTCTCTATAAATGTTTGGAAAGTGCTTTGTAGTTGACCACAGTAGGCTCCATCTTGTCCTTTTTACAGGCAGGATTGAATTAGTGCCTCACCACCAATACTGTTTGAAGACATGTTTCAGTGTTGGGATCTATTCTAAAGGGAGGCAAGGCAAACTACTTGTGTCCCGTTCTCATGTTCACGGTTTTTTGTGTATAGTGCGTATAGTGGCAAAAAAAACAAAAACAAAAAGAAGAAAAGGAAAGGAAAACCACATGGACCTCTTTTATGTATTTTCAGGGAAGAAGTTCATTTTTGTCATCCTTTTTTATTTTATTGATCACAAACATTTCAAATAGAATGTTATGATGTCTGAGAAAAACAAATGTAGTCTCTTTTTTTCACCTAGATCCAAGTTCTTTGGATAATATAGAAGATGTTACTCACCCCTGTAACCCAAATCCTTGTGCTGCCAATGAGTTGTGTGAAGTAAATAGAAAAGGATGTCAGCCTGATGAACCATGCCTTCCATATTTTTGTGTGCAGGGTAGGTCATGTTTTTGTTGCAATTCCTAAATGTTTTGACAGTTTCAAAAATGCTGTTAAGATTCCAAAAAGAACCAACATTGATTGGAATCCTGTTGGTGATCTACACTGGTGAAAATATTATTACCCTGTGGTTGTGCTTTCTAGGAAGACATACAAGAGAGAGAGAAAAGCTGAAACTTGCATGAGCTGGATAATAGAAGACACATCCATACATCCTCATTGTGATATGTATGATAAAGACAGAATCCTTCATAGGGGAAGGCAGCTAAAATAATAATATTATAGATGAGGTTCCAGATTTCAGTAGGTGCAAGAACGTGAAAAGATGTGCAGATAAGTAAATCATTAACAATGGCAGCTTTAGGAGTAATCGAGCAATAGTTACATTAGGAGCATGAGAGAAGCTGGGAAGAAGTTCCAGCAGAGACTGGAGGAAGGCAAATGACCCTATCTTCAAACAGGGGAAAAAAGAGGACCCAAACAATTACTGCCCTGACATCAATACCAGTAAAGATTCTAAACCACATCATTAAACAGACTGCCAAACTCACAAAATGTTAATATGGGTTTTTCTTAAACAAGTCATTTTTGACAAACTTTTGATAGACATCTACAAGCTTGGTAGATGAATGGAATGCTGTGAAAGTAGCATATCTGAATTTCTAAGGCCTTTGACAAGCCCCCTACAGTAAGAAGCTAGTAAAATGTAGTTAGAAAATACTACTGTTAAGTGGATAGGAACTGGTTAACTGTCCAAACCCAAATAACTCCTCTTCATCCTGGAGAGAAGTTTCTACTGATGTGCTACAGGGTTCTGTCCTGGGCCTAGTGCTATTCAACATTTTTATTAATGGCATGGATAATGGAACAGAGGGCATGCTTGACAAATTTGCAGAGGACACTGAATTGGGAGGGATAATATCCCAGAAAACAGAATCAGAATCCAAAATGACCATACCAGATTAGAGAGTTGGGCTAAGACTAACAAAATGATATTTAACATGGAAAAATGCATGGAAGTCACTTAGACAGAAAAAAATAAAATACAGATATAGGATGCATGTGTGAAAGCGGTCTAGGAATCTTAGGAGAACACAAGTTGAACATACAATTCCAGGATGCATTCTGCTTTGGTCACAGCTCATACCTGGAATATTGTGTCCAATTCTGGGCACCACAATTCAAGAGAGATATTGACAAGCTGGAATGTGTCTAGAGGAGAGCGACTAAAATGATCAAAAGGTCTGGAGAACAAGCCCTATGAGGAGCGGCTTAAGGAGCTGGGCATGTTTAGCCTGAAGAAGAGAAGGCTGAGAGGGATATGATAGCCATGTATAAATATGTGAGAGGAAGCCACAGGGAGGAGGGAGCAAGCTTGTTTTCTGCTTCCCTGGAGACTAGGACGCGAAACAATGGCTTCAAACTACAAGAAAGGAGATTCCATCTTAACATGAGGAAGAACTTCCTGACTGTGAGAGCCATTCAGCATTGGAACTCTCTGCCCCGGAGTGTGGTGGAGGCTCCTTCTTTGGAAGCTTTTAAACAGAGGCTGGATGGCCATCTGTCAGGGGTGATTTGAATGCAATATTCCTGCTTCTTGGCAGGGGATTGGACTGGATGGCCCATGAGGTCTCTTCCAACTCTTTGATTCTATGATCTGCAACACCGTGTCCTATTCTGAGTACTACAATTTAAGAGGGATATCGACAAGATGGAACATGTCCAGAAAAGGACAACCAAAGTGATCAGAGGGCTGGAAACCAAGCCCTATGAGTGAAGCTTAGGAAGCTGGGAATGTTTAGTTTGGAAAAAGGAGGTTGCGAGACCACATGATAGCCATGTTTAAACACGTGAAAGGATGTCATATTAAGGAGGGGGTAAACTTGTTTGCTGGTGCTGTGGAGACTTAGGACATAGAGCAATGGATTCAAATTGCAGGAAAAGAGATTCCACCTAAATATTGGGGAAAACCTGAGTTGTTCAGCAGTATAATATGCTGCTTCAGTATAGTGGAGTGTGCTGGAGGTTTTTAGCAGAGGCCAGGAGTCCTCCTGTCAGAGATGCTTTGATTGTGTGTTCTACAAGTCAGATGTAGGACTGGATGGCTCTAAAGGTCTAATCCAATTCTATGGTTCTATGAGATTCTGAATTCTCGTGGGATCAGAAGGGGACACACTGAGACATAGGACACACCTAGGGATTTGCTACAATATTTTTAGACCCTGATCTCATTCTATAGATCAGAACTTTCCAAATATTTAATGTTGGTGACACACTTTTTAAGACATGCATCCTTTTGTGACACAGTAATTTAGTTTTGCAAACAAACTGGAGGTTAAAACAACACCTTATAAGAGATTTGGAAACATACTTAAGTTGTAATAATGAAATGTCAGGGGACACAACATATCTAATGAAAACCACTCATTTAAATGTTTTTAAATTTATGATTTGCGAGATAATGACATATATTTCCAAGATTTTTTCCCCATTTTTATTACATTCACATGACACGCCTACGTATTGCAGTTGACACAGTTTGGAAAGTTCTGCTATAGATCTTTCTTTTCTCTGCCCCCTCCTTTATTTTCTTCTTTCTGTAAACTTGTAGCATTTTTTGTGATGTGTATGCCTAATTTTTTATAAATTCAGTAACATCTATTTTTGTGCACAGGCTGCAAATTGGGCGAAGCTTCTGATTTTATTGTCCGCCAAGGTACACTCATTCAGGTTCCATCTTCTTCAGGAGAGGTTGGTTGCTACACAATTTGTACATGCAGTCAAAGTGGACTTTTGGAAAATTGTATGGAAATGCACTGTGTTGACCATCAAAAGTCATGCATTGTTGGAGGGCAAAGAAAAAGTAAGTACCATTGCAAGTCATTCATTTCTGAAAAATCGATATTAAGTTTTTGGAAAAAGCAAACCTAACACAGAGACCGAATATGCTTAAGCGAAAGATTTTAGATTCCTGCAAATTTTGGGAACAATTCTGAATAAATTTCTCCTTAAATAAGTGTAGCATGCTAAGCAGAAACAGATTTGTTTTGGTCGTGTCAGGAGTGACTTGAGAAACTACAAGTCGCTTCTGGTATGAGAGAATTAACTGTCTGCAAGGATGTTGTCTAGGGGACGCCTGGATGTTTGTTGTTGTTTTTTTTTTGATGTTTTTACCATCCTTGTGTGAGGCGTCTCTCATGTCCCTGCATGAGGAGCTGGAGCTGATAGAGGGAGCTCATCTGCGTTCTCCCCGGATTCGAACCTGTGACCTGTCGGTCTTTAGTCCTGCCGGCACAAGGGTTTAAGCAGAAACAGATCACTTAAAGCAATTGAATCATACATGTATGTAGTATGCATTTTGTTTGTTTACATGTGTCTGTTTATTTTAAAATATAATTGAATAATATTTATGCGTTTCCTGATCCCACTGAACAATGAAAATGTATGTGGTAGTAAAAAAATAAGTGTCCACTAATGAATACCAGAAATTCTCTTTCAAAATGAAAGAGGCAAAATATTAAATTGAGAAAATTTTAGATCTATTTTTACAGGCATTCAAGATTGACTTTTAGCTATAACTCATTAATTTATAAAATACAAAATAAAATTAATAAAATAATACAATGTGAAATTTTATTGTTCGTAAGATTTAATTTATTTCTGATTTTTTTTACTTGTATCTAGCTGTATTTTGAAGTAAAATACATATTCATTCATTTCGTTTATTTTAAGGCCATGGAACATCTTTCAAGATAGACTGCAATGTCTGCTCTTGTTTTGCTGGAAATTTGATATGCACAACCCGCCAGTGTCTAAATGAATACAGCTCGGATGATGAACGCCGAAAATCTACGGGTAAAATTGCAAGACACAAGAAAATTTAAAAACAGTGAATAGTTGTACGAAAATAAATGTATTAGTTTTTCTTAGCTGTCTGTCTCTTCATATTCAGTGGCAAGCCTTTATCATTTATCTGCTGATCTTTTTCTGACATAATTCAAAGTGCTGATTAGGACCTATAAAATGTTAAACAGGCTGATAGATGATATCTCCTTGTATGAGCCATCTTAGGCCTTGAAATGCTTTTTTTCTCTTATAAATATGGCTTGTGGGGACATAAATCAGAGCCTTCTCATTTACTCCCCTCACGGCTCTGGAACTTTTTCTCAGAGGCTAGAAAAGTTCTTAACTTCTGCCATCAGGCGAATCCTTTTTTTTTTTCACCAGGCAAAGACTTCTGTTCCTTTGACAATTGGATTTTGAAAATTTTGGGTTATTGTGAAAACAAACATTGGTGATAAAGCTTCATTGTAGAGACCCTTTTCCCATGATAACTCTTCTAGAAGTCAATTTCCTTTCCTAGGAGTAGATTTCTTCTCACTTCCTGTTGTTTCATGCCTGTTTGTAATTAATAGTTGAATTTAAGTCAAGTGTTTGTAACTCTAATTTCAGGATTGGTGTGGGGCACGAGGTATTGTGTAGACAATCAGAATTTCAAGGATTTTGTAAATCTGCACAATCTTAACAATGGTCAAATTCTTTCAGGTCTACCATGTAATTGTGAAGATGAATTTGTCCCAATGTGTGGGCACAATGGACGAACCTATCCAAGTGTGTGCATAGCACGTTGCGTTGGGCTTCAGGACAATCAGCTTGAATTTGGGTCCTGCACATCTCCTTGCAAATCTAATCCTTGCCTAAAAAATCAGAGGTAAATATTTAACAAAATTGAGATTGGGAAAATGTCTTCAGTTAATCAGCCTTCTTACATATGAAAAGCAATCGACCGTATTTTATTTATTTATTTATTTACTTTGCTTATATACTGCTGTATCTCAAGCCCGAAGGCGACTCACAGCGGTTCACAAACAGTAAAAACAGTAGAAACAGCAGTGGTTCCATACAACATATAACAATTGACTTAACACATTATCCATAAATTACCAATAAGCAATTACAATGCACAATTATTACAAAAAACAACCGTACCCAATCTTCTCATCATCCAAGCGTAGTCCAGGTTCGTCGTCCATTGTTCCATTCCTATGTTCCATTACCAGATTGCACTAAATTACTCAAACGCCTGCACAAACATCCAGGTCTTCACCTTTCTTCGGAATGCCATGAGAGATGGTGCCAGCCTAATGTCCGTAGGAAGGGCGTTCCACAGCCGAGGAGCCACCACCGAGAAGGCCCTATCTCTCGTCCCCGCCAACCGTGCTTGAGAAGCCGGCGGGATCGAGAGCAGGGCCTCCCCGGAAGATCTCAAAGTCCTGGTGGGTTCATAGCGAGATGAATTTTATATTCTTATTTTAATTTTAATCTTATATTCTGGCATATAAGACTACTTTTTAACCCAAGAAAATCTTCTCAAAAGTCAGGGGTCATCTTATACGTGGGAGTCGTCTTATACACTGGAGAAGCCTTATGCATCTGGGTCGTCTTATATGCGGGAGTAGTCTTCTACGCCAGGAGCCGTCTTATAGAGTGGGTGCTGAAACTTCCAATCCGGATTGGAGAATGTGTGGTTGCTGCATATGGTGGGGGGAGCTCAAAAATGGCAGTGGCCACGTCCCTGCCATATGCAGTGACTGTATGAAAGCATTAAGGCTGACGCTGTACAAGTATGGTAGAAGAAAATCCATTCATCAGCATTCGTGGACTTAATGCGGTCTCGATGGTGAGGCGAAGGGGCACCTCACCGGGAAGGTGTAAGTGAAGGGTGTTGCAAGCTGCAGGCGTCTAGGGCACCCGGGATATGGAAAAAAGAGATAGAGTGGCTCTGGGCCCAGAAAAACACAACTCTTTTACCTGTCTAGCCCACCCTTGTATCTTATTACCATACCTCCTCCTCTGTCTCTCAGATCTCACTCCTGAAAACTGCAGTGAAGCGGTGCAGGTGCGCATGTGCGAGATCTGAGAGGCAGAGAAGGAGGTACAGTAATAGGAAAATTACCATATTGAAATCAAATCTGATGCTTTTTAAATTTTTATTTGGTGTGCGTTGGAAGAGTGGTAGTCTTATAGGGCGAATATATCCCAAACTCTATATTTTAACAGGAAAAGTTGGGGGTTGTCTTATATGCTGGAATATACAGTATGTATTTAAGGGTATATAACACATTTTAAAGTCTCAAGGAAGTTCAACCAAACATGCACTGTAGCTGATCCTAGTATATCCCAGATTCAAGGTGAATTGACTTCGTCAAATGCAGAGTGCATCATTGTAGATACTTGCCTTGCAGAAGTGCAGTAAAAAAATCCAGAAATGGAGGAGGGAGCTAATTAAAAAAACCTGCAAAGGAAATGAGATCATAGGTCAGTGAGGTTCCCTCTTTCCCTATCAATTTAGGAAACAGCCAAGCAGCAATGAAGTAGGAGTACTTATTGTGTTTGGTTTACTGATTCTCTTTCTTTCAGCCTCCTATTTTTTGTAGTTCCTCATTAAATTACCTCTGGGATCTGCTAAGTGTATGTGTAATAACATAAATAATATGGATTTTTTTTTGTTTTAACTAGATGCATACCAAAGCCACAGGTTTGCTTAACCAGTGTTGAGAAATTTGGATGCAGTCAGTATGAATGTGTGCCCAGGCAATTCAGTTGTGGTGACCAGTTGCGAGATCCTGTTTGTGACACAGACAATGTAGAATATGCAAACCTGTGTACTCTACATCAGAAAGGAAAAAGTATGTCATACAAAGGTCCATGTCAGGTATGCAATAATATTTCAAGTTATTTGTGGCATTTATTGTTCCACATTTTATTTAGACCAAGCCAGATTTTTTTTTTGCTCTTTAATAATGATTATAATTTTATTTCTTATACTTTTGCTTTTATTCTTTCTTCACTTATGTAATTTAATATGTATACGTTTTAAACAATTGAGCATGGTATGATGGGTAATTTTTAAACAAGAATAGAGAAGTGTGGCTCTTTAAATATTTTTGGCCTACAGTTCTTATCAGTCCTTTCTAGCATACATAGTTAATGGTGAAGGAGTGAGGGTATTGTAATCCAAAAACAGCTAGAGCAGTGGTTCTCAATCTGTGGGTTCCCAGATGTTTTGGCCTTTCGACTCCCAAAAATCCTAACAGCTGGAAAACTGGCTGGATTTCTGGAAGTTGTCGGCCTAAACATCTGGGGACCCACAGGTTGAAAACCACTGAGCCAGAGGGCCACAGTGTCCAATCCCCTCCTATAATTATTTAAATTCTTTTTCCTGAGGTTGTCTTACTGCTTGCCATAGATACTGGCAGAATCCTTTGAGGCTTGGAATTTAGGTTTTCTGATTTGATCTGTCTCTCACTCCCTTAATCCTCCACCTTAATTTTGATTTTATAACAATTACATTCAAAGCTTTGAACCGTTTTGGGCACACACAAGCTGGATCCAGTTTTTCATGACTATTTGTCTTCCTGAACATTGCTACCAGAAAATTCTGAGCAATTCTACTGGAAAACAAACCAGGCTCCCTATTATACAGAGACCCTTAGGGAAATGAAATTGGAAGAATGACAACTAGAGTGCAGATGGCAGAAAATTCAACTTTTATGCGACAAGACATGGTATAGAGGTGGCAATACATGCAGCGAAAACAACTTTCTTATCTACACACATTGTGTCTGCAGGTTCATGTCCAGCTGAGCTGTTCAGAGAGGTGAGAGGTCTAACTCAGGTACCCTCTCCTCTGAACCCATTACTAGAACCTTCAGTAGCTCACTGTGATGCTTTTAACAACTATATTGCGGATAAAATATCTCGCATAAAAGTTGACTTATACATTTTCATTGGAACAGAGGCCAGCAATGAGGTGTCCAGCAACTCTTTGAGTGGGATTACACTGGATCAGTTTCAATTGGTGATGTGGACAAGCTGCTGGGGCAAGTAAAGAGGACAACCTGCTTTCTTTATCCCTGCCTCTCTTGGCTGGTTGTCCAAGAAGGAGATGCAATTCATTCTCAAATACAATGAATTTTTAATGCATCTCTTAGAGAGGAGGATTTTCCATCTTGTTTAAAAGTAGCAGTAGTTAGACCACTGCTGAAAACGCCCTCCCTAGATCCCCTAGACCTTAATAATTACAGACCAATCTCTAATCTTCCTTTTTTGGGGGCAAAGTGATTGAGAAGGCAGTTGCCTGCAACTTCAGGGAGCCTTGGATGACACAAACTTCCTTGACTCATTTCAGAACAGCTTCAGAGCAGGATACAGAGTTGAGACTGCTTTTGTTGCCTTAATGTCAGTGATTTCCATCTTAACACTGACAACAGGTGTGTGTCTCTGCTGGTGCTTCTAGACCTCTCAGCAGCTTTTAATGCCATCAACCATAGTATCCTTCTGAAACACCTGGAGGGACTGGGAATTGGAGGCATTGTGCTGCAGTGGTTCTGGTAGTACTTTCAGGTAGGTGCATAGGGATAGCTGTTCCTCAGGAAAGGAGAAGTTATATGACATCCCACAAGGTGCCATTTTATCCCTAATGCTTTTAAATATTTACACTAACTACTGTGAGAGATCGTCTATAGGCATGGGGTGGGGTGTTATATGTTTGCTGATGACACCCAAATATATTTCTCCATGCCTTCACAAACAGCCTAAGGATAGTGAGTCTCCTCTGATTGATTGAGTGGAAAAGTTAATGGGCTGGATGAGGACAAACAAATTGAAACTGAATCCAGACAAACCAGAGATGCTTGCCATCAAAGGTCCTTTTCTGGGGATGGAGGTATGCCAACCAGTTCTGGTTGAGGTTACACTTCCCCTGAAAGACACTGTCCTCAGCTTGGGAGTGCTCCTAGTTATGTCTCTCCAAATGTCAGTCCAAGTTGATGCAATAGTTATTATCAACTTTGTCTGATTTGCCAGCTTGTGAATATGTTTCCATACATTTTGACTAGTCTCTTTGGAGGAAGTACCATCGCAAGTGCATTTAGTAAACATTTTCTTTTAGGTTTTGACATGCAGTGTATTTCATTCTTCTCTTCCATGTCTTTTCCCATTGGGCCATTTTTATCTCTTGGCCTATGTTTTGAGCCCATCTAACCATCAAGTCTTTTACTACTTCCTCTTCTGTGTGCCAAGTCAGTAGATTTTTGTATATATATAAGTCCTTTTGGTTTTTGGAACAACGAATTACTAAGTTTCAAACACAATGTAAGTATTAAATAATTGTTAGTTTGCATGTGGTTGTTTTCAATCTCAGATATTGCATTCTGCTTTTAATTTGGAAAGAATCATAAGATTTTAGAGATATTCACTTTGTTGGGGTGGGGTTTTTTTTTCAGTCTTTTTGCAGCTCAGTAGATTTGGTATGTGGCCATAATGGTGAAACCTACAGCAATGTATGTGCTGCCTATTCTGATCGTGTTGCTGTAGATTACAGTGGACCTTGTCAAGCTGTAGGAGTCCTTTCTGACTATAGTTACCAAGGAGAATGTGCATCTGTTACATGTCCTCATCTTTCAGATATTGGATACAGGCCAGTTACTCCACCAGGTGAGAATACAATTGAAGTTTGAGAGCATCTTGACAATATTAAGAGAAACATAATTGTTTAGGTTCTGTTGAAACAGCGGAATTTTAGATCTTGCATACTTTGGTCAGAAAAAAAATAGATAAGCTGGTCTTAGTACTTTTTTTAGTGTAACCACAATAATGCACTTTACATTTATGATTTGACGAGATCAAACAACCTGTCTTCTACCTGGAAAGAAAACAAAACTGGGAATACTATATTTCATCATGTAATAGTCACAGTCACACTTTTTATGCCTTTTTATTGAAAGGGAGAGATGTGACTATTATGTGATGAAAAAATCACATAATAGTCACATCTTTGATTCTCCAGTTTCTGGTGTTTATTAAAAACCAGGGGGGTGCTCCTGCCTCGAAAAAAATTCTGTTTTTGTTTATTTTTAAACTGCCTTGCCTCAGAAAAAGGAGGAAGGAGGAGGGAAAATTCCCTCTCCCTTCTTTCTTTTTTCAAAAGCAAGGCAATTTGCAATATCTGAAATGAAGCTCTTTGGGGAAAGAAGGTGTGAAGATCTATATTCCAGAGACCTCCATTTCATAGTTTTTAAACTGCCTTGCCTTTGGAGAAAAAAGAAAGGGAGGAACTGGAAATCAGCCCCAAGCGGCTCTGTGGCTATTATTCAACGAACAGAAATATATCAGTTTTGCACCCCCAAAAATGGGGGTGCAACTATTATGGAGTGGTAACTTTTATACAGAAGTTACAGTTATGCTTATTAAAACATTCACACCTAGCTCCAGCAGACAAAAGTCCTTTGTCCCACCCTGGTCATTCCACAGATATATAAACCCATTTTCCTACTTCCAACAGACCTCACTACCTCACTATGGCAAGGATGCTTGCCATAGATGCAGGCGAAACGTCAGGAGAAAATGCCTCTAGAACATGGCCATATAGCCCGGAAAAGCCTACAACAACCTATGCTTATTGTGTCCATCCTGTGAGGCTATAATTATGAATGTTGTGCTTATTTCTTTAGAGAATTAAATGCCGCAAACTGTTGTGATAGCATAGGGTGCTTCTTTACTGCCAAATAATGCAGTGTAGAGGCTCATTAGCTTGTTTGCCTTCACACAATGCACACAAGCTAAAGAGATTTAATCTGGGGTGAACTGCTTAATAGGGGACTAATAAGCCCCCTGCAGCAAGATATGTACGTTCTCCTGTGTTGGGGCAGTGGGAACAGCTATCCTGCATCCCTGTGCTGGATCCAGTGCTACTGTCCCGACAGCCATCCCATGCTCCCTGAGCTCAGGCAACCCAGGGAGGTTGGGTGCACTCCCTTCCTGCTCTCCACACCATTGATTTCTCCCCGGAGAAGAGAGAAAAAAGGACCTTCTGCAAGGTAGCAGACCCCTTTTCTTCTTTCTAAGCCATATGACTGGCATAGGAAGAGCTGGAGGGAAGCTCACTCTTTCCAGGTTCCTTTGCCCATGCCTCACTATATATATATAATAGGTATATAATTTCACATGATTGCTCAGCCTCAAAGTTCTGTCATTGGAGTATACGTCCCTCCCTTGTGGGAAAGCTCCCGCTATAATGAGCTCTCCTCTGCAAATTACCTGCTTCTCTTATCTCGCCTGAGTTTTTAATTTTAATTAGTTTGTCTTTTAATCATGACATGTAGGCTGCCCATTGTTATTGTGCCTGTGTTTACTGTAATTTTTACATTGTTATGTATTGATATGTTTTATGTAAGTATGATGTTATTGTTTATTGTTCGTGTTTTCGGTTTGTGCTTTGGTTTTTCTTTATTGTAATTGTTATTTGGGCTTGGCCTCATGTAAGCCGCTCCGAGTCCCCATTGAGGAGATGGTGGCAGGGTATAAATAAAGATGATGATGATGATGATGATGATGATGATGATGATGATGATGATGATGATGATTATTATTATTATTATTATTATTTTCTGGAGGCGCCTGGTTGACACCTGTGTGAAATAGCATGCTGAATAGATGTCCTTCATTCTGGTCTAGAGATGTTGCCTGTTGGTTTGAATATTTGAATACCACACACAATATAAACCACTAAATCATAAATTTTATTTATAAATCTGTTTGGACATGTGTTATCTCTTTATTGTGCAGGAGCATGCTGTCCCCTATATGCAGGGATGCTGCGGGTTTTATATGACAAGGAAAAGCTGGATATCTTTGCCAGGGTGAGTAAACTCAGGTTCTGAAAATATTAAGCTATTGGACAACGGTGTGGATGGAAGCATAGATGTTCAACTCATGGGCCCTATACAATCCTGGTAGTAGTTATAATATTACTCATACAATTAACTAGGGGAAGGCTCTATATTTTTAAACACCCATGTGTTTAACCCCTAGGGAACTCCTCGTCTGCAGGCATGTCACAGTCCACTAGGCTTTCCAGCTTTCCAGTATGGCTTGCGAAGCTTTCTGAGCTAGGCATATTTCACTTGACCTGCCATTTTTTCATAGCTTTGATCTGGTTTTATTCATTCTAAAGCTTTTCTTTCTTACTCTTTACTTTGGTGGGTCACGTAGAAGAAGTCTAAAAGGCCACGAACATGGTCTAAACATGCTTCCAAAGAACATGGCATCCATGAAAGGGAAAAACAAAAGAACAAATTGATTTGAATGATCTATATCCAATTCACAGATTTCTTATTTATTTATTTAAAACTTTTATATCCCGATCTTTTCTACTTCTGCAGAGGAACTCAGACCGGCTAACAGCAAAGATTCAATGCTAACACTGAAAATCTAAAACATAATACACAACATTAAGTTACCAATTACATTACATAAATTACATAAAATTACATAAAAGCCGTTCACCAGGATAAAATTGTGTCCAACTCAGTCCGTATGTCCAGTCCATATATTGTGATCAGTACCATTAGTTGATTGCCGGTCTCAGGCATCATTCCACAGCCAGGTTTTTACTAGCTTCCTAAAGGTCAGGAGGGAGGGGGCAGATCTAATTTCATTTGGGAATTCCATAGCCGAGGGGCCACCACAGAAAAGGCCCTGTCTCTCGTCCCCACCAGATGCTCCAGCGAAGATGGCAGGACCGAGAGCAGGGCCTCTCCAGACGAACTTAACACTCTTGATGGTTTATAGGGGAGAATACGTTCGGACAGGTAAACTGGGCCGGAACCGTATAGGGTTTTTGCTACATTCATATACAGAACAAAAAGACATTTTGTATAGGTTGCAATGGTAAAAGAACACTGAAAGAAGTGGGGTTGTTTGGAATGAAAGTGGCCTCCCTTTTCTGTGCTCATGCATTTTCTAGTTAAGTCTATGCTCTCAGCACTCGTTTTCCCCTCTCCATTGTCACCAGCTCATTGCCGTTTCTTAAAAACATTACCAATCTTAAAAATGTGTATGGCACAATATATATATACTGTACACAAGACCCCTAGGGCTATTAAGAAATGCAAAACATTTCACTATTAATAACTCATTCTCGAATTGCCTCCTGCCCTAAAAATCAAACTGCTCTCCCCTCATCCTCTGGTTTGTGCGTGCTCCATTTTGGGAACCATGTGGTTAACCCCTTCCAAGCTTCCTGCAACCCTCATAAGAATAATCCTCTGCTGAAGACTTCCCCCAAGCAGTAGCTGAGCCTGGCCAAACAAACTTCTGGCCATATCTGAGAACTTCACTTATTACTCAGTTTTGTTTGATCCAAATGTAAAAATGTCTGAAAGTTATATTTACCACTTTTTTTTTGTTTTCCTTTTTTTATTGAGAAAGAAAAATAAAAACATATTTGAACAGATAATACTTGTCTATTGTAGGCATACATTATAGTAACATATTTCTGTATTATCTATTCTCATTCTTTACAGGTTTGTTCATATTACATTATTATTATTATTATTATTATTATTATTATTATTATTATTATTATCTTCTTCTTTTTTCTCCCCCCTCCTTCCACCACCCTTTCCTACCCCTCCCACCACATTTCTCTCTATATCTTTATTTTTAACCACGCACACAACTTTTGCATTTTTTGTACAATTTCTATGCTGGCTTCGCCTTCTTCTACCCATTTCATATATGTTGCCTATTTCTCTTTAATTTCTTCTGTTTTGTCCTCCTGTGAATCTTCTTGGGTTATACATTCAATAATCATAGAATCATAGAATCAAAGAGTTGGAAGAGACCTCATGGGCCATCCAGTCCAACCCCCTGCCAAGAAGCAGGAATATTGCATTCAAATCACCCCTGACAGATGGCCATCCAGCCTCTGCTTAAAAGCTTCCAAAGGAAGGAGCCTCCACCACACTCCGGGGCAGAGAGTTCCACTGCTGAACGGCTCTCACAGTCAGGAAGTTCTTCCTCATGTTCAGATGGAATCTCCTCTCTTGTAGTTTGAAGCCATTGTTCCGCGTCCTAGTCTCCAAGGAAGCAGAAAACAAACTTGCTCCCTCCTCCCTGTGGCTTCCTCTCACATATTTATACATGGCTATCATATCTCCTCTCAGCCTTCTCTTCTTCAGGCTAAACATGCCCAGCTCCTTAAGCCGCTCCTCATAGGGCTTGTTCTCCAGACCCTTGATCATTTTAGTCGCCCTCCTCTGGACACATTCCAGCTTGTCAATCTCTCTCTTGAATTGTGGTGCCCAGAATTGGACACAATATTCCAGGTGTGGTCTAACCAAAGCAGAATAGAGGGGTAGCATTACTTCCTAGATCTAGACACTATGCTCCTATTGATGCAGGCCAAAATCCCATTGGCTTTTGTTGCCGCCACATCACATTGTTGGCTCATGTTTAACTTGTTGTCCACGAGGACTCCAAGATCTTTTTCACACGTACTGCTCTCGAGCCAGGCGTCCCCCATTCTGTATCTTTGCATTTCATTTTTTCTGCCAAAGTGGAGTATCTTGCATTTGTCACTGTTGAACTTCATTTTGTTAGTTTTGGCCCATCTCTCTAATCTGTCAAGATCGTTTTGAATTCTGCTCCTGTCCTCTGGACTATTGGTTATCCCTCCCAATTTGGTGTCGTCTGCAAACTTGATGATCATGCCTTCTAGCCCTTCATCTAAGTCATTAATAAATATAATATAATAATATCTGATTGGACTTGTTCAAATAAATAATTATTACAATTTTCCAAATTTCATTTTTTTCATCTCTCCACCCCCAGGCTATTACCGCCTTTCCTGCTAAAATCATTGCTTTAAATAAGTTTTGGTTCTTCGCCTCAATATTTTTATTCCCTGTAATTGCCATTAGCATAAATTCCATATTGACTTGTATTGTTATTTTGAAAAGTTTCCCAATTTTTCTAATTATCTTATTCCAAAAAGTTTTTGCATTTAAACAGTCCCACCACATATGTGCATACCAACCTTTCTCTACTTTACAATGCCAACATATTGGACTTAATCCTGTTCCCATATTTGCTAATTGAGATGGTGTCCTGTACCATTTCCAGATGAATTTCCTTTCTAATTCTTTATATTTTTCCATTTTAATTTTATTTATCCCTTTCTTTAATTCCTCAATAGTTTGTTTTGTGAGTGTCCCCTCCTTCTGCCACTTATTTTGTAATCTTCTGACTACATATTCATCGTCCTTTATCATTGTTTTGTATAATTCTCCAACTAAACCTTTCATTGTCTTCTGTCCTTTCAAAATATATTTTCAAGCACACTTTCTTTGCCTAAACATTCTCCATATCAATTATTTTAAAATCAATTATTTTAAGAAGGAAAATATTTTATATTACTTGATCTAATATTAAATATCACTTTTGCAATTGAAAGCTTTGTTTTGTAAAAAAAATAAAAATAAAATTTCTTTCAGGTAACCAAACGTCCAATTACAGTACTTGAAATACTGCAAAAAATTCGTCTCCATGTTTCTGTACCACAGTGTGATGTATTTGGATACTTCAGCATAGAATCTGAAATTGTGATACTCATCGTTCCTGTTGATCAGAATCCCAAGCCACTTCAGGTATAATTTGTTAAGCACCAGTAGTTTTGTATTGGTTTTGTTTACTTACTGTGCTTTATTTGGCTCAAATGTTTTCTATTTTTTAATCATATGAGCATTTAAAACATGTCTGAAAGTGATCTTATTTGTAGTGCAAAAAACACTTAAAAACAATACAATAATTAAAATGAAGAACAATTTTAACAAATATAAACTTATTAGTATTTCAATAGGAAGTGTGGGCCTGCTTTTGGCTAATAAGATAGGGTTGTTGTTGCTGTTGTTGTGCGCTTTCAAGTTGTTTCAGACTTAGGTTGACCCTGAGTGAGGGCCAGGTAAATGACCTTGGAGGGCCATATCCAGCCCCCGGGCCTTAATTTGAGGACCCCTGTTCTAGAACATGGCCATACAGCCCGAAAAACCTACAACAACCTAGAAGGGAAATATTTCAAAAACCAATCTTTATCTTTTCTTAGATTGAAGCCTGCAATAAAGAAGCAGAAAAGATTGAATCACTGATCAACTCCGACAGTCCTGCTTTAGCATCCCATGTGCCACTCTCAGCACTTATAGCAGCCCAAGTGGAAATTTCGTTTGGAGTTTTGTCTTCCTGCAGTCAAGTTGGGCCAGCATTGCATTTGCTCTTTTGGAGCTTTATGGTCGCTTTCTCGGCCACACAATGTAGGACATAGTGGCAAAAAAACTAGTTATTGTTGTGGGATTTTGTATTTGTTTTGCGAAAGACATTCAGAACTGCTGATAACCTATATATCTTTTTGAGAATTGGCAACTTGATCAGAGTTGTCTCTCCACCCACTTCCACAAAGAATATTTATCATCACTAGAGTAGTATACATAATACAGCAAACTTTTAAAATTATCAAACAAGTAGTCATTTACCCTGAAAGCAGTTTGCAGAGATAAGGATAGAGCCCACTGCATGTGTATTCATTTCTTTAAGCCCTCTGTTGTTTGGTCAGACATATTTAATGCTTCAAAAATTAGCAACGTTTGCCTGAATAGTGGCAGGACAAAAGAAATGAACACAGTTGTCAATTACTCTAGCATATTGCTTTCACTTCTCTGGAAAACAGTTTTCAAATCTTAGAGGACAACTTACAAGCAAAAATCAACACAATTCAGACAGTCTAACTGTACATGTTTATGGGAAGAACACTACATTGTACTTGGTGCTGCTTCAAGTTGACTGTGTTCCTAGTACTTTTTTGTGACTATGCATACTTCAAAACATAGTTTTGAACACAAAAAGCATAGTTTATCCAAAGATGTTTATGCATAACATGATATTTTGCACAACTCTATTGGGAGGCTCCTATATATAGGAGCCTCCCAGCAGGATATAAGAGTATGCATTTTGTCAAATAGTCAATGGAAATACATATCTTCTTCTAATAATAATAAACTTTATTTCTACCCCGCCACCATCTCCCTGATGGGGACTCGGAGCAGCTTACATAGGGCCAAGCCCGGACAACTTAATACAGCAATAAAATCGAAGCATATACATCAGACAACAACATTATCAAAATGACATTAAAATAATAATAAAATAATAATAGTAGTAATAAAATAAAATAAAACAAAAATTCCAATAGACACAATCACGATAGAGATGACAATAATAAAATAGTAATAGTAGTAATAAAATAAAATAAAATAAAACAAAAATTCCAATAGACACGATAGAGATGACAATGGACCGGCCACATATTCCAAATAAAAAACAATTAACAGACTATGATGAAATAAAGTAGGAGCAGGGCATTTAAATGGAACTCATAAAACACACAGAGTTGTGGGGCAGAACATCCTATTTGGAGGGCATGAACTCCATTAGCCGAAAACGTTGAGGGGATCTTAAATATCATGCTCAACCTATTCACCAAAGGTGTAGCGGAAAAGCCAGGTTTTGAGGTTCTTTTTAAATGTTTCCAGTGAAGGGGAAACAGGTTTTTGGAACTTTTCCTTCCAGTTTTCAGTTACAGCCATTTATGTAAGTCGACTGGCACACACAAACAACATCCTGGTTTTGGACAAAAGATTGATTTTCAAAAATTCTGTGCAGTGTACATTTTTTTATCTACACAATATCTGTTCCATACCTGCCAGTTCCTTACTGTGAAGACAAAATCATTTTTCAATTAAGGCAACTGCTTTCTTTTCCTTGAAAGAAGAAATTGTGCAGATTTTTCAACTTCATTTTCAGCAGTAGACACATGTTGCATAAGAGTATTGAAAAGTATTATTTTTATATGACTTAGAGGTATATCATTCAAAATGTTAAACATAAACCTATTTTTCAACATTGGTTTTTGACAAACATATTGCTGCTACTTAACAGTTTTACCAAAAACAAAATGAATAACTAATGTTTTGTGTAAATACATATTATATTTTATTATGAAGAATATGATCACGGGGTTGATTCTGCAGAGGTTAACATAGTGGAGCAAAATTACGGCCGCACAGACTTGTTTGCAGAATATCATCACCCAATATTTTAAGCTAATATCCTCCTTATAAAAATGTATGCAAGGTACAGATTGATGATGCAAATCGTTTACTCTGATTTCCTTTTAGGAGAAATGTTGTGAAGAATTTTTAGCTATTTATACATGTTAGATACTGCATTATTTGCATATTATCTAAATTTACATTTTAGCATGTTAATATTTTATACAAAGCATATATTTTTTTAAAAAGGAACCAGTCCATCAGCTAGTTCTCCTGTTTAGGTCCTATTAAAGTACGGTAAATGGGATCTGGTAAAGCACAGTAGTGATGGTGTTCAGTTCCCATTGTCTGGAATCCTGTTGTTAAAAATCCGTAAAAGTTCATTTTTGCATGTTCTTGCACTTTCTCAAGGCTCTCATGTGGACGAGACAAAGGGGAAGTAGAAAGCTGCCATCTCTGAGATCTGATTCTGCCATGGCTGCTGTTCAGGGAAGGAGCCTGTGGAGCTAAGGTGCTCTTGGAGGAGTAGGCAGTGCCGTTTTCCTGTCCCTCGCAGTTACCCCAAACCCACAGAAACCCTTGGGCCTGAGGGCTGCCTCCCCACCTCCAGAGCCATTCATAAGTGTCTTGGAGCAGGTAGCTTTTTCCTACCACTGTCACCACTTCTGATTGTTCCTTCTTCAGTGCTACTGTACTCCCAGTGAGTTCTTTGTTGCCACAGTCACCTTTGACTTGAATTCTCGCATACCATATTTTATCACATAATAGTCCATAATAGCAAGGAAAAAAAATCTTTCTTTGATTCTCCAGTTCTGTTTTTAAAAAAAAAAAAAAAAAAACCACTGTGTAGGATGGGCCCCATGGTGGTGCAGCGGGTTAAACCACTGAGCTGCTGAACTTGCTGACCAAAAGTTGGCGGTATGAATCTGGCGAGCAGGGTGAACTCCCACTGTTAGCCTCAACTTCTGCCAACCTAGCAGTTCAAAAACATCACCTTCTGCAGGAAGGTAACAGCACTCCATGCAGTCATGCTGGCCACATGACCGTGGAGGTGTCTACGGACAACGCCAGCTCTTCGGCTTAGAAATGGAGATAAGCACCACCCCCCAGAATCAAAGATACATATAACCATCCCCCCCCCCCCCCCCCTCCAAAATTAAAAAGCAAGTAGAGGAACCTGGCCAAGGGTCGAAGAATATATATTATCCCAAACAACTTGTTATCCTAGAGCAGGGGTCCTCAAACTTTTTAAACAGAGGGCCAGGTCACAGTTCCTCAAACTGTTGGAGGGCCGGATTATAATTTGAAAAAAACATGAATGAATTCCTATGCACATATCATAGAATCATAGAGTTGGAAGAGACCTCATGGGCCATCCAGTCCAACCCCCTGCCAAGAAGCAGGAATATTGCATTCAAAGCACCCCTGACAGATGGCCATCCAGCCTCTGTTTAAAAGCTTCCAAAGAAGGAGCCTCCACCACACTCCAGGGCAGAGAGTTCCATTGCTGAATGGCTCTCAAAATCAGGAAGTTCTTCCTCATGTTCAGATGGAGTCTTATTTGTAGTGCAAAAACCCCCCACTTAATACAATAATTAAAATGAAGAACAACTTTAACAAATATAAACTTATTCGTATTTCAACAGGAAGCGTGGGCCTGCTTTTGGCTCATGAGATAGGATTGTTGTCGTTGTTGTTGTGTGCTTTCAAGTCGTTTCAGACTTAGGTTGATCCTGAGCGAGGGCCGGGTAAATGACCTTGGAGGGCTGTATCCGGCCCGCGGGCCTTAGATTGAGGACCCCTGTCCTAGAGTATCCATCCTAATAATGGGAGACTTAAATGCCAAGATAGGAGCAAATGACACGCTAGATACAAAGTGCCCACTTCTGAGACAGTTCAAAGAGGGTAGAGGCTTCCTTTATAACAAGACAGGATCCAGCCTCAAACAAACAGCTCCATTTCTGGTTTTTTGTGTTTTTTAAACTGCTTTGCCAAGGAAGAAAGAGGAGAGAAGATTCTCTCTCCCTTCCTTCTTTCTCCAAAGGGAAGGCAGTTTACAAAATCTGAAATGGATCTCTTTGGAGAGGAAGATGGAACGAAGATCCGAGTTCCAGAGACCTCAATTTCATAGTTATGACTTTTTGTAAGGAACACAAATACTAATTTTGCTACCCAAAAAATGGGGTAGCGACTATTGTATGATAAAATATGGTATATGTCCCAGAGCCAACAGGATTTAGGCCATTCCTTTTAATCGGACTCATCCAGGAGACCCTGCTGAATATATCCTTTTAGTCTTTGTGCACCTGAACTTTATTTACATGAAGTATTTTGTATCAGTATTATGAAAGCTAACTTTTGAAGGATATGCAGGTAACATTGTTTTTGCCAAATGACTGAATATAAGAAGAAAGCACTGAAAGTTAATTTCAGCATTGGTGTTGTTCTCGCGATTTTGTGACACATGTCTTGCTTTAACTCTTACAAAAAGAAAAAAGCTGCAATGCAATATGAAATATTTTTTCAATAAAAATATTTTCTCATGTGTCCTTTAAAAATGTGTTAATTTTATGAAATCTGATATACAAATGGCATATTTTAATGTAATGTTTTTGTTTGAAGATCTGTTTTCTCACTTGGTGATAACGATCTCTAATTTATTTATTTATTTACTTTACTTTACTTTACTTTACTTGTATACCGCAGTTTCTCAGCCTAACAGGCGACTCAACGCGGTTTACAACAAGGATAAGATCAATCAACGATATACAATTTAAAACCATTAGAGCACAATATACAATATTGACACAACAATAACAACACAATGCATCTCATAACTAGAGTCGTGATCCAAATTCGTCGTCCATATTTCCATTCCTGTAATCGTCACATTCATTGCACTGATTAACCAAATGCCTGTTCAAACATCCAAGTTTTTAATCTCCTTCGGAACACCATTAGCGAGGGGGCTGATCTTACCTCCATGGGAAGGGCGTTCCACAGCCGAGGGGCCACCACAGAAAAGGCCCTGTCTCTCGTCCCCTCCAGCCGCACCTGTGAAGCAGGCGCGATAGAGAGCAGGGCCTCCCCAGAAGATCTTAGGGTCCTGGTGGGCTGATAGGCCGAGATACGTTCGGATAGGTAGGTTGGGCCAGAACCGTTTAGGGCTTTAAAGGCCAATGCCAGCACTTTGAATTGAGCCCGGTAGCAAATCGGCAGCCAGTGGAGCTGGTGCAGCAGAGGAGTTGTATGCTCCCTGCGCTCCGCTCCTGTTAGTATCATGGCTGCCGAACGTTGGACTAATTGGAGCTTCCGAGCCGTCTTCAAAGGCAACCCCACGTAGAGAGCGTTGCAGTAGTCTAAACGGGATGTAACCAGAGCGTGGACTACCGTGGCCAAGTCAGACTTCCCAAGGTACGGGCGCAGTGGCGCACAAGTTTTAACTGTGCGAATGCTCCCCTGGTCACCGCCGAAACCTGGGGTTCCAGGCTCAGCGATGAGTCCAGGATCACACCCAAACTGCGAACCTGCGTCTTCAGGGGGAGTGCGACCCCATCCAACACAGGCTGTAACCCTATACCCTGTTCGGCCTTACGACTGACCAGGAGTACCTCTGTCTTGTCTGGATTCAATTTCAATTTGTTCGCCCTCATCCAGACCGTCACAGCGGCCAAGCACCGGTTCAGGACCTCGACAGCCTCCTTAGTAGCAGGTGGAAAGGAGTGACAGAGTTGGACATCATCCGCGTACAGATGACATCGCACTCCGAAACTCCGGATGATCTCTCCCAGCGGCTTCATGTAGATGTTAAACAACATAATTTCAAATCAAATGGAAAGAACCCAAGGATATTCAACATGAAGGCAAAGCATTCCCAATTATTGCATTGAATGAGCGCTATACAATATTACTAAATGACAAATTCAGGAGTTTAAACTACGAGTATGTACCCTTGCTACTGTTTTTAATATTTCATGCTTGCTACTGTTTTTAATATTTTATCTATATACATAAAAATGCAATGTTCGTTTGTGGAATTAACAGAATTCAAAAACCCCTGGACAAATCGGCACCAAATTTGGCAGCAAAACACATTCTAATCCCATCTATGACTTTCAAACAAAAAAATCTTCAAAAATGAAGGGGAAATAACTTTAAAATCCCCCCCCAAAATACCTAACAAAGCATTCGCAAAAGCCCCCCTCTCCAGCGCGCGAGAAGACTGACGCACCAACCGTTGTGAGGAAAGAGATGCCTAGCCATAGAGTCCCTTTCAATGCGTGGGCCCTCCTTCCTTCCCTCCCAGTCTCCTTCCTCTCTTTGTCGGCTCCACCAAACACAGACCTCTCCTCCTTTTCCCCCTGGATAGGCGGGTGGGTGGCTGCTCCATGTGGATGCTGCTCGCCAGGTTTCATCTTCCCATGCCTTGGTGCTCTGTAGCCCTCCGCCTTGCAGGGCCCGGCAGAGGCAGGAAGGCATTTTTCGAGGTGGGCCTAGCTCACCCAAATTGGCCCCTTCTTTCTGCCGCAGCCACAGGGCACTTTCCATACGACCCTGCCTGCGTGCCCTCCCGCCAAACAGGGAAGGTGCCCCGCAGCCATGGCAGAAAGAAGATGGGGCGGGGTAGCGCTGGGTGAGCGAGGCCTGCCTTGAAAAGCGCCTCCCGCTTGCCCCAGCCTGGCCCTGGAAGGCTGCCTTCCTGCTGGAGCCCAGGCAAGAGGGAGAGAAGGGAAAGTAGGAAAGAGGGAGGGAAGAAAGGAGAGAAAGAAAGAGGGTGGGAAAGAAGGAAAGAGAAGGAAGGATGGAAACAAAGAGCAAAGGGAGGGAGGAAAGAAAGAGGGAGGGAAGAAAGGAGAGAAAAAGAAGAAAAAGGGGGGAGGGGGAAAGAGAGAAGGAAAGAAAAAAGGAAGGAACGAAGGAAAGGGAGGGAAGGAAGGAGAGAAAGAAAGGGCAGGAAAGAAAGAAGGAAAGAGAAGGAAGGATGGAAGCAAAGAGCAAAGGGAGGGAGGAAAGAAAGAGGGAAAGAAGGAAGAAAGGAGAGAAATAAGGTAAAAAAGGGGGAGAGGGGGGAAAGAGAAGGAAAGAAAAAAGGAAGAAATGAAGGAAAGAGGGAGGGAAGGAGAGAGAGAAAAAGGGAGGGAAGGTTGGCCACAGCAACGCTAACAGACCAATGAGTGTCCATTAATCATAACCCCCCCCCCAAAAAAAAAAAAAACAGTGGAAAGGACTTAAAACTCCCCAAAAGATAAATGACAAAAAATAAATGACATATAGGAAAAAGGGAAGGAAGAGGGAGGGAAGGAAGAGGAAAACCGGGATTGTGGTGCAGCTGGCTGAGTGTCAGCTGCACTAAAGATCACTCTGACCAAAAAGATCATGATTTTGAAGCCAGCCTGGGTTGGAGTGGGTTTCCAACCAATTGTGTGTAGCCTGTTGTCGACCTTTGCAACCCGAAAGACAGTTGCATCTGTCAAGTAGGAAAAATTAGGTACCACCTTAAAGTGTGGGGAGGCTAAATTAACTGATTTATGAGGCCATAAGAAGACTCCAGCAAAGCATTCCAGTGGGGGAGGCATGCGGGGAATGCGGAAGTGCTTCATCAGCGTCGCAGATGGACGATGAAAGCGACAGCTCCCTGGCGGCCAGAAAAAAAAAAGTTAAATAGCCTCTGTGTATGTCTGTATACATTTGTATGTCAAAAATTGGCATTGAATGTTTGCCATATATGTGTACACTGTAATCCGCCCTGAGTCCCCTGCGGGGTGAGTAGGGCGGAATATAAAAGCTGTAAATAAATAAATAAATAAATAAATAAAAAGAAGGAAGGAAGGAAGGAAGGAAGGAAGGAAGGAAGGAAGGAAGGAAGGAAGGAAAGAGAGAA